AACAATTCAGATAGTTCTGTCTTTAGACCAGGAGAGGGCATGTTTGTTGAAGAAATTATGAATTAAAGAACATTCTGTGAACTGAGACAGAAAAAGTAGAAATAAAAGCAAGGGCTTCTACAGAACAGGAAATTAGAAATTCTCTGAAATATAAAATGTGTTTTTATTTATACTGTTATTCAGTTGATTCATTGGTTTCATTGTTATTGTTAACTGCATTTTAATCTTTAGATTTTACTGTTTAGTTGCATAATTAACTGCATCTATAGAAAGGCACCAGCTTTAAAGAAAGAAAAAAAACCCGCAGTAACGTCCAAGGATGAAGCTGTCTTCTGCTAGGGGATTTCTACCATCACCTGGCTGTCCTGTCAAGCCAAGACAGCTGGGCAGGAAGGAATGCAGCAATAGGGAATGCCTTCATTGGTTTTTGATATCATCTCCTCTTCCTCTTTCTTGTTCAACCAGGGATTTCAGAACAGGGCTCAAAGAAGGAAAGTATGTTCCCTTTTTTGTGAATTGATTCCAGAACAGGGCTCAAAGAAGGAAAGTATCTTCCCTTTTTTGTGAATTGAAAAACAATAGTTGGGAGTCTAGGTTGGACATTTTACCAGATTACATATTCCAAAATACATGTTACACTGAAATGCCTGATTAAAATCATACAAGATTGAAGGAATCAAGGATCAATAAATAACAAGGGTAAAATCAAAGAGACTGATGAATTTTCCTTAGATGAGCTTTGGCTTGTCATCAGGAAGAGAATAAGACAGCTGGCAATTTATTTGTTTACTTACTTACTTATTCTGCCTTTAATGTTTTGTTAATACAGACTTTGGAGGTCAGATTTGCCACAAAGCTACCTGACTATCAGTGATTGATCATTTCATTTTGTCCTCCTAAAGAATAAAAGAATCTGCATAAAACCAAAGTATAATTAGCTGCCAACTAATAAGGAATCTTAAACTTCTTTATCCAGAGCTAAGCTCATCCAATTGTATCAAGCTCATTTCTAAATTAATTTGTTTAAAATTATAATGCAAGTCCCAGTTATAGAACTATGCTTTATTTTTTATAATTATGTCCAACTTCCATCAAACATAGTATTGATATATGAATACTATGTATCATGTAATCTCTCTCTCTCTCTCTCTCTCTCTCTCTCCCTCCCTCCCTCCCTCCCTCCCTCCCTCCCTCCCTCCCTCC